AATATGGGTTACAAAAAACCAAAAAATTCGATCATGGATTACAAAAAAACAAAAACAATTCGATCATGGATTACAAAAAAATCGATCAAGTATTACAAAAAAATCTATCATGGATTACAATGGTATGGAGCATACCCATTGTCTTTGATAGCCGTCTTGATACGGCCCCAACTTATAGTATGGTGCATGGCCATTGTCTTTGTTAGCGATCTTAATACGAATTCCAACTTCACGGTCTTGATACGGACCCCAACTTATAGTATGGTGCATGGCCTTATCTTTGTTAGAATCTCATAATAATGGAAAGAACTCTCTATGTATTGATTAGTAAAGAATATATAAGACCCGTATAAATATACTGCTAATAACAGTTCTAGATAAATAGTATATCCCTGGTTTCATATACTGATATATATCACTAATGATGTATTTCAATACTAACACGATGTGCCTAATCTTATCAAGAGATATATACCCAAATACATATCCATACTTATATGTATCACTAATGATGTATATCAATAGTAACATCATAGATATCCATATACTAACGTACCCCCTAAAACTCAAAATGCTTTGACACAAAGTAGCTGGAGTTTGAACAATAAGTTGCATAAACGAATGAGTTGGATCTTTAGTCTTCAAGTGTGACCGATAGAAGCAGTGATCTCCATGCTCAGATTGCTTGAACAACAAGCACAGATTTTCTGAACAACAAGCACAAAAAGCAGTGGCGGATCAACAAGTCTCAAGAACAACAGATGGTTGCATGGCGTGACCGATAGAAGCAGCCTCGTGATCAACATACAGCTGCATAACGTGACCGATAGAAGTAGCATCGGGATCAGCAAACGGCTGCATGGCGTGACCGATAGAAGCAGTGGTCTCATGCTCAGGTTGCTTAAACAACAAGCACAAAAAGCAGTGGCATATCAACAAGCCTCAGGAACGGCAAAAGGCCTCAGGAACAATAAATGGCTGCAAGAACAGACAAAAAAACTCCAGATCTTCATCGGAGACAAGAAAAATAGTCGAGACAACTGAAAAAACAAAATGACACTTGAAAAAACAAAATGACACTTGGAAGAACCAACATAACCTAGTGTGGTTCCGAAACAGATTCAGCAACTCGCAGACCATAACAAACATGATCAAGTAACAGAGAACTCGAACATCAAACATGATCGAGTAACGAAAAACTCGATCACCAGAGCATTGATCATCTGACAATGTCAAGTAACGAAAAACTCGATCACCTGGGCGCTGCTGCCACTCCGACCAAAACTGTACTGCACGCTGGTACTGAGGAGTATGTTGGTGCCATCAGCTTCTCTCGCACGCATCAGCAATGAAGTTTTACCGAAAAAAAAAAAAAGGAAGTTTTATAGAAAAAAATATCATGCTTACCAGAAGGGAGTGATAAGCATAACCCTTGTTACCCATTGGATGATTCCTGTTCTTCTACGAGATCCAAAGATGACACTGCCCAACGAGCTATTGATTTTATGTTTGGAGAATAATTAAGGGAAGTTGCGAATGGATGAACGCATTGATTTGAGTATGATCGAGTCAGGG